TAAAATAACCATAAAGTACAAACTAAAGCAGTCTTTTGAGAGCTGGACTACATACCTAGATTCTGTTTTCAGGGACATTAGAGTCTAACTCTGTCTAGCGTCAGATGTCACACAATCACCACAGCTATGTGCCAGAAGCCCTTGACAAACCATCAATCAGCTTGGCTGACGCTGAGATGCAGCACTAATAACTAATTTAATTCTCCCTGTTAAATCTGAAAGATGAACAATGATACCTTCAGGAAAAAATTTTCAAAAATTATAAAATTATAAGTGAGCAAGGGCTGGCCAAATAGTTGAGCAGATTAAGGCGCCTGCTTAGGCAGATGCAGGTGCCAGGGGTTCGAACCCTGGCCTGCTGTGCTGGCCCCACCCCTGGGGCACACTGAGACGGCGATTGAGACTGGACATGGTGGTGTGAGCCTGTAATCCCAGTGCTTGGGAGGCAGAAAAACAGGAGGGTCACTACACATCACATCTGTGTAGTAAGACCCTGAAGACCCTATACTAAATACATTTTTTTAAAAAAACTTGAGCAACCCACTATTCAATTTTTTTTTTTTTTTTCTTGTTTGTTTTGTTTTAGCAGAACTAGGGATTGAACTCAGGTTCCTGCGCTTGCCAAGGAAGCACTTATTCTACTGAGCCATCTCCCCGGCCCCCACTATTCAAGTTTTAAGCTGCTAACTCCCAAAACTGATTTTAGCATGAAAGACCAGTAGTACCAAATGTTCAAGTGCCTACTTAAGCAAGATCAACAGAAAGCTACTATACATGTAAATCATTCCCATTCCTTGGAATCAAGAAATAGCTTGCTTAGTGCTAGAAACACAGAATTTTTCTTTTAAAGTTTTTACCTTGGAAGGCCACGATCATCAGAAAGTTTGCATTTGGTGATCATTTTCTTGTGTGATTCATAGTTTAAATCCTTCAGTGTTAACAAAGCTTACATACTTTGAAGTACCTGAGCTCAGTAGTCTCTTTAAAAAATGAAATTTTATTCTCAGATGTTATATAAAATGCGATGTGTATAGTATTGTTGGTTCTACACATTTTTATTGGACTAGAAAAGAAAAGATATTATTTTGAAAGGAACTGAAGTTTAGCACTAATTATCTTGATCTAATCTTTCTTTGTGGGGAACATACCAGAAGTGTATTCATAGTGTAGTGTCAAAATAGAACACTATTAATAACAAATCCTCACTCTCTGAAATAATATCTTAACATAGATGGAGACACAAAAGGCACTTCAATCCATTAGGGAAGATCCCAGTAGAAAGTTTCTGCATTTGTCCACATTTATAATACTTAACAAACTCTTTAATATTTTAAAATGTTGTCTAGTAAGGAACAAAAGTCTTATGTGACAGGCTCTGAAATGATATAATTTGATATAAAAGGATACAGTTAATCTGTATTGATAGTTCCTACATGCTTAGTGACATTTAATTCCACAACACTCTTCTTATCATACTATCTTCTTATCATCAGCTATCATACTGAGACGCAAGGAGACCTCTTTAATTAAACTGGGAACTTACGGGCTAATTCTGTGCTGTTATCAGACCTAATGACAGAACTTTTAACAACTCTAGTGAGATAAAAGTTCACTCCCACAGTCCCTGGCCCACTAGGAAAGGAACATCCTACAGAACTTTAATGCATAAGTTGTGAAGCTCAGTTACAGCCGTGTATTGTCAGTGACCACTTGTCTTTCCACCAATGAAAACAGGACCTTTCCTTCACCAGCACAGTTCTTGAATCTAGGTTGTAATTTCAATTTTTGTCTTTTGTCAGATCCATAGGCCACATCAGTCGTTCTTCCTTGTTTGTCCCTTGAGCATCTATTTATCAGAAAAAAAGACTAAAGAAATCTTACTGAAAATTGGATCCCATCAACAACTTGTACTGGTTTGCTGTTAATTCTGAATCACCACAGCATCTCCGAGGAAGCAGAAGTACGCAGCCGAGCCTTGGGTGGGAAGCTGAGGCAGCCGAGCTGCCAAGAAGTGAGCCTGGCACCCCATGCTGAGGGGCTGGTTCGTTCCCATGGTCTCCTAACTAGTGAGAAATACTGAAATCTTCCCTCTCATGAATGAGGTAGCCTCCTATATTATTCTGTAGCAGTCAAGAAAATAGTACTAGTCCCCCACAAGCAAGTTTGGAACCATTTAAAAGGGACTACTGACTTGGAAGAGGTTTCTCTGAATGAATAATGGTTAAGATGGTTCAAGTGTACTATTTAAACTATGACAGTTTAAAAAGGGCAAGATAAGTAAACTCCTATGTCCTAAGTTTCAAGGTTTCTAAGAGTGACTCAGAGAGTCACGTCATGGGTGTGTATTTCCTTCAGCACCACCTGGAAAGTCACATAGCGTTCAAAGACTCCGAGTCTAACATGTATGAGTTTCTAAACATAACTTTGGGCCTCTGGCCTTTTCCTTTTCGGAACCGAACCCTACTACAGTTTTATAACAAAGAGTATTTGGTTTTGCCAACAAATAAAATAATAAACATGGACATGACTAAGAAATCACAGTGAACCCAGGAGCTGTTTGTCTACCTTATTACTTGCTCCTAGCCCTATTCTTAAACTCAGCTCTTAGTCTTTTTATTGACATCAGAGCAAGCCATCAGTAAAAATCAGTGAGCACGATGTGAACGAAACCAGTAACACAGGAAAGCAGTGCTCTTCTACAGTTCCTGTCCTACCTCACCTGTGACCGTTAGGAAAGACTAACTGCTCTTTCGTGTTAATAATGACAAAAGGTTTGCCTTTTAAAGAGCTGCACATCGTCCTCTGAGGCAATGACCATAAACCTAAGTTACCTCTTAATGTATACGCCAGCAACGAAGAAGTTTTCAGTGTTAAAAATGTCCTAAAGTGTTTACTCTTCCTGTCTTAAAATCTAGTACTGGAGCTTGAACCCAGAGCCTTCACACTCAACTATATTCCCAGCATTTGTAAAATATTTTATATGGAGACAGGGTTCCTAACTCACTGAGTTACCCAGGCTGGGATGGAATTTCTACCTCAGCCTCACAATGCTAAGATTACATGCTCTAGTTTTTATACTTGCTTAAATTGTTCACATGTTAAAATTGGAGCTAATTAGTTTGTGCATTTCTACTTGTATCTGTAAACTCTGGGATTTTACTGTACCACCAATCACTCCAGAATATAATCCAGGTAATTACAAGTTCCTAAAAGTCAATTACTGGAATGGCTTCTGAGAGGTCTAGTATACTCCAAGTTGTTCTCCAGGATGCCTCTTCAAAGCTAAGATTTAATCATTTATTTATTTACTTGGTACAGGGTCTTGCTATGCAGCTTGGCTTCAGTGATCCTCCTGTCTCAGCCTCCCCAGCCCTGGGATTACAGGTGTGTGCCACCATGCCCAATTTCAGGGCCTGCATGGTACACCTAAGGTTACAAAGCTTGCCCAGCAGGTGCTTAGACTGCTGAGCTACATCCCCAGCCCCAAGACTAAGATTTAATAAAACTCTAATGGATTATGAAAAGCAAAGCAAAAATTATGCTTTCTGAAAATATTAAGGACTTAGCAATTTTTTCCACAAAGCATTTCAACATTTAAATAAACATATTCTAGAACCTATTAAAAAGATATGAAGCTTAAATTTTATTTATTTATTTTTTTTTTTTTGCGGAACTGGGGATTGAACTCAGGCCCTTGCACTTGCCAAGGAAACACTTGTTCTACTGAGTCATCTCCCCGGCCCCTAAATATTTTGATTATGTAATTTTAAAGCACGTATTGTGGATCACTGGACTGTTAGCTGAAGACTATGGGCAAGCTACTCTCCCATTTAACACAAAAGTGGGCTGGGATTCATTCACTGACACTCTGGGGACCAGGAAGGAGTACAGCTCAGCAACAGTGCAACTAAGCAAGGATGGTAATGAACTCCACATTTTTGGAGGGTCTTAAGAGGAAAATAAAGGAAATGTAGAAAAGAATGAGGAAATCAGAAAGAGAGAGAGAGAAAAAAAAAAAACATGAGTGGGACAGCCCAGCACACCAGACACTCCTCAGAGCCATCCAAGCTATAGGTCACTTCCCCCAAATCTGGTATCACACTTATTGACTAACATCAAAATTACCTGAACACAATTCAGGGCTATGATAACAGGGGTATAAATTAAAACATGCCTCCTACTAGTAGCTTCAAAGCTTAGGGTTACCTGAAACAAACATGCTTACTATTTATAATTAAATGTACATTTACTTCCAAAATGTGGGAAGTTGAAACTACAATTACTAAAGATTTTTCCGTACTTGGGTGGAACCTATGGGATCATCAGCAAACATATAATATATGGATCAGAAAATATAAATGAAGTCTTTATTTCTATATATGCATGAAGTTGGATGCTTGCTATGAACACTATGCAGTTTTCAATGGAAATTGCAAGTCTTGTAGCAGAGCTTTAAAGTATTATAACTATGATCAAAGGTTTACAAATTGTGAATTAAGGAGTAGGAATCGGGTGGCATATTATCTAAATTGATGGGCCCTAACAATGTCCAGTGAAATGACATTCAACCAAAATATTTCCGGGAGCAACTTGGGCATCTGTTATAGTAGCATCTGATCCTGAGTTGCTAAGCAGAATGACTCCTCTCTTCTTATGTTATTGTGGGCCTCCGATGCCAGAACCTTTTGAATATGAGAGTTTTCTGAGTCTTATTCGAGGTAGGATTATGACATTTTTACACACTGTATTCTCTCAGAAAAGTGCCCGAGTTGAATGAAAATAGATTATTAGGTCACTATACTGCATCAGGAAGTGTTCAGAAGTTGTCATTTTCCAGGGATGCTGACGAATGCCTGTAATCCCAGCACTTGGGAGGCTAAGGCAGGAGGATCACTGTGAGCTTGAGGCCAACCTGGGCCACACAGTGAGTTCAAGACCAGCCTGAACTCCATAGTGAGACCATGTCTCAAAAAAAATAAAAAATAAAACCCACAAAGAACAAAAACAAAATTAGGATTTATTTTTAATGTAATATTTTTAAATATAGAATACAAATCTTTATGGATATTCATAATTTTCACATCTTTGGTTTGTGTATTTTAATTTGCAGAACTTTCCTTACCAAATAATATATCCCTAAATATTTAAAGGAATTTAGCATGTTTTATTCTAACTTTAAATGATCATAGTACTCTTCATAAGCATCTACTACAGCAGAGCTTTTTCAGTATTAGATTTAGTTTGATTCATTCTATTAAACTTATATTATACAATGTATAATTATATACCAATATAATATGCCAAAATGTAAATTTTTATTATAAACACTTAAGTCACTTTGGTGTTTTAAAGTGAAAAGTAACCCAGCAAGACCAAGTGTTTGGATTTCAGATTTATTACCTTTTCTTCTCTTGCTCCAAAATTGGCCAAATTTTGGAAGTAAAACATTTTGGAAGTCCTTACACAAAGTTAAATTTCCATTTTAGAGTAATCTTTCTGTAGAAATGGGGGCTGTCTTTAGAAATCTCTATTAAGACTAAAAAGCCGTAACGTTTTGTCATGGCAGTCTGGATGGCTGGCCCTAATCCAACTTTACCCAGGCACTGGTAACAACGAGGAAGTAATGTTCTAGACAACTGGAGGTGAGTCGGTGAAGGACGATACTGTGCACTGTATTCTTACATCTAAATCCTTTCTTAAAAGCTTAAAATAAGAACAGAAAAGGGTGGTATGGTCAAAATAGTTTTGTTTGCTGCAACAGAAGAGCAAACGAATTACCGAAGACTGCTGATATGAACCAACAGAAGGAGTACGATGCAGCTGAGTGCAGGGCATGCTACAATGCTCCGTTTGCTCACAATCTAAATCCCTGTCACTAAAATAAACTCCATATTTAATATTTACACGATGAACTTTCAAAGAGCTGGGTGAGGAAGCCGACCTCCTCCGGCCCTGCACCTGCTCCCAAGCCAACAGCCACATGGCCATGTGGGCCCATCCTGCAGGAAGCCCACCCTCGCCAGGGCAGACAATGGAAGCGCTCTGCCTTGGAAGCATGAAGGACTGAAGTGGTGAGACACACAACCACCCTTCTCACCTCACAGATAATTTAGGAACAGACGGATCCTGGAGGTGCTTCAAGACAAAATATCCCTGCCGTTAGGCAATACAGGACTGCACACCTCAATGCAAACTTTTGCTAGGAAACTTTGAAACTATAGGGATGATTTCGCCTTATAGATACTTAGAATCAATTAAGACCTATCAATTTCATAAACCAATTTGCACATTTGTTTATATCAGAATGGTGTTTTCTTCACAAATGAAAAGGGATTTGCCCCTCCTTCTAGTTTGTCCTTCAACTCCTATTTGATAACATACTTAAGAAGACTTTGAAGTACCAGTGCTAATAAATCCAGAAGTCAGAAATATTCTTAATTTCCAGAATTGCTTGCATGCATTCTGTTGTATTTTATTGTTTAAACAAAATCAAGGGGCCCGGGGAGATAGCTCAGTAGAAGAAGCGCTTGCCTGGCAAGCGCAGGGTCCTGAGTTCAATCCCTGGTACCACGAAAAAAAAAAAAAAAATCAGAAGCTTGGGGTGTTTTGGCTACTGGAGCAAAATGTACTGCAAACTCAAAGGGAGCAAATAAATGTCTGTGGAAGAAAACTGCTCTGCCGTTCTGAGGGGATCCTCTCATCTCATATGTTAAATCCACCACTAGCATCTGCACCCCCAAAGCCCCTGGCCCTGGAACAAGTCAGAACACTCCAATTACATAGCTTAGGAAGCAACAGAAAAGCAATTCTCACCTAGTCCTGCGTTTCAGGTGGATTTGTGGTTATCTACAATTCAGGCTTACATTTTGTAAAATGTTTCCAAAAAGCACAAGATTAAAACAGAGGTGCCAGAACCCAAGACACTATGTGAGACAACGAACAAATTATTTCCAGTTCTAATCAAACTGTAATCCTTTCAGTATAGCTTGAGGTATTTTAAAATATTTTACAAGCTTAAATAGTATTCACAGTTTCCAAAGTTGCCACTTGATGAGACAGCTTCAAATCTTCACAATATTTGACTTTCAGACCTGTTTTCCTATAACAGAGCCTCTTCCCTCAAGACTCTTGGAAATATTAGATAGCTACTTGGTAGAAGAAAATGGTTCTTGTAGTAATAAAAGTTCTATTTCCCAATTGTGCTATTCCAAGGGTATGATTAAAAAAATAAGAAATTTGCAATTCATATAAAACGAAAACTTGCTTAAAATTCAAAAGCAAGTCCAGTCTGGTAGAGGTATGTAGACATTAAATAACAGAATCCGATTCTTTCTTGAAGATTTCAGATGAGCTTGACAGCAGAGAGTTCTGGTTCCCTAGCATCTTCTCCATCTTCTCTCCTCCAGCAGTTTTCTGGATCTCTCTCTGCTTCTTATCATGGATCCATGGGATAAAACAAAGTACAGCACCTCCAATAAGGGGAGGGACCCCAGCGAGGTAGAATGCCACATTATAGGAACCAAGCTTGTCTCGAAGCAACCCTAGAAGGGAAAGAATTGTCACTGAGAGAGAACAAGCGTGCCTCTAAGGGCTGCAGATCAGTCACACTGCTGGCCTAGGGCCAGGGTCAAAACTTGCCCTTAGCAGGCCTTGGTCCCACACCGCAGAACCAGCTGCTATCCTTTCCTGCTTTTATTAGTGGGTATTGGCTATATAGATAAATGGGTTTCATTTTAGCAGATTTTTGTACACAGATGTAACATACTTTAATCAACCTCCCTCTTCGCCCCCTTGCCCTACCATTCCCCTGAGTTTCACACTGGGGGGGGTGTCCAATGTGTATAATTTATTTTGATCATGCTCATGCCCCTAATGCCCACCCTAACACTCCCTCCTTCCCTTTCATCCCTTCTCCTTTTCTAATAATAATTTTCCTTCTACTTTCTTGTCTTCTTTTTAAGGTTCTACTTATTAAGGAGAACAGGTGATGTTAGTCCGTGTCTGGGGCTTATTTCACTCAACATTATGATCTCTAGGTCCCTCCATTTTTCTGCAAAAGACAAAATTTCATTCATTCACGGCTTAATAATATTCCATTGGGGGGGGGGCTGGTGAGATGGCTCAGTGGTCTAAAGCACCTACTTGGAACAAGCTTGGCAAATCACAGGGACCGCGGTTCAATCCCCCAGCACCACATGCCAGCCAGCCCTGCCCCCTGGTGGGCTGAGCTGGCCACACACACACAAATAAACAAATTAAAAAAAAAATCCATTGGGTATATACAGCACATTTTCTTTAACCATTAATTTATTGATGGGCACTTAGGCAAGTCTCATATCTTAGCTTTGTACATGGGATTGTAATAAATACAAGTATGCAGATATTGCTGTAGTACAATAAGTTTAATTCCTTCAGATACATCAAACATTTTAAGAAAACATATGTAAGCTATAAATCTCTTCTGATATGAGGAAGGAAAAGATCTTCCAGCTTTAATTTTGTCTCAGAGTACTAGCCTTTTAGTTCTTATACCAGGATATTACTTGGGAAAAATATTGGCAACTATACATTGGCTTTGTTAAAAGCTCTTACAGGCCACTCAGATATTCAGACACAGGGTAGGTGGTGCTCAAGTCAGCTGAAACTTTTCTCAAATGCCTACACTTCAAACCCATCTTGGGCCTATGTGTTTTTATAAATATGAAATTGTTGGGTTTCATAGCACACACTTATAATCCCAGCTTCCTGGGAGGCTAAGGCAGGAAGACAGAGATCCAGTCCTAGTCCAGGCCTGCAAGAAGGATCCAAGGACATGAGTGTAGATTTCATGATGCAACTAGCTGGTTTTGAAGGACAGCTTAACAGTGCTGAGAAATAAATTTTCATTCCATCAAGTAAAAAAAAAAAAGAGACAGGAAGACAAAAAGTTTGAGGCTAGCTTGGGAAACTTAGTGAGACCTTGGCTCAAAAAGAAGAAAAAACAGGTTGGTGATGTAACTCAGGATAAGAGCCATAGATTGAATCTCTCTTGAGCACACATGTGTGCATGTGCATGTGGCGAGATAGGAGAGGGGGAGAGGGAGAGAGGGAGACAGAGAGAGACGGTGAGAAGAGAGGGAGAGTGGGAGAAAGGAAGGGAAGGAGGGGGAAAGAGAGGGAGAGAGGGGGAGGGGAGAAGGTGAGGGAGGGAGGGAGGAAAAGGGAGGGAGGGAGGGAAGGAGGGAAGGTGAGAGAAAAGGAAGGAAGGTCCAAAGAAAGCAAGGAAAATTATAAATTTAAGCCAGGATGAAAAAGGTTGTTATTTGGTAAAGATACTAAGGCTTGATGCTCTTTGGGAAGAAAATAGAAGTATGTCTGCCCACTCTGTTAGATCCTTTGGCTTTGCTTGAGTATTATTTAGAGTCTTCTTTCTTCTTTGTCTAAAAAAAAAAAATCTGGGACTTGGGGTTATAAATGTTTTCTTTAGAATTTTTAAAAGTTTACCTTAGAATCTTAGTTATTTGAAATCTTCAAGAAACATACTATATTGAGCATTTATCTGACTTTGATTTTTAAAAATAATGTGGATTTTTTTCAGTTAGGTACCAACCAATACATACAAATGAATGTATATTCTCACTCAACATAAACAAAATATATAGTACCTCTAAACATATAATTTCCTATCTTCTGTATCAAAGTATTCCATATGTAACTGAAGCTTTCATCCTTGTGAACATCAATCAATCGGGTTTTGCTCTACTGCTATGATGCCCTCAGAGTGCACTGTGAGCAAGGCCTGCAAGGGGCTTTCTGCTGCTAGTGGATGCAGGTTGTTCGGCTCACTATTGAGGCATCCTCTTATGCCATTATTTTTGGTCTGTTAGCATACCCCCTTCCTACTAAAGTGCCCATAAGCTGCTATGGATTTGAAAACCCTGAAACTAAACTTGTAGGGTAAAAAAAAAAAAAAAGAATGAATAGTATACCACCCGAGGGAAAGAGAGGGCTGCAAGATTCTCCTACATAGAAACTGCTAACCTTAGAAGTTCAACCCCATCTGGTCTGCTCAGTAGTAACCCTGCTTGCTTGATTTACGACCGGGATATAGTTGTAGATTACAAAAATGAAGCAAGGTCAACTTCCACCGAGCCCATGGTGCCAGACACAAATAATGGCACACACATTTATATGTTATTCTATTTGTCAGCCAAATGCAGTGGTAACCCTAGTGCTCTGGGAAGCTGAAGCAGGTGGATCAGAAATTCAAGCCTTAGCCTGGGCCAGCTAGCGATTTAGACAACACTTGTCTCAAAATTAAAATAGAAAGACTGGCCAGTGCTGGCCAGGCAGGCGCTTAGATTGCTGTGCTACCTCCCTGCCCCCCCAAAATTAAAACTTTTGGAAAACACATTTATATTAAATCTTATACTGATTCACACTGACTGTATATAACATTGAACAAGAGGTGTCTTTAGATAGGAGATATTCAGGAGATTTCTATAGGTAAAATTCATATAAAATAAAATTAACCAGTCTAGAGGCATTTGGTAAATTTACAATGATGTATAACCATTGCCAGTTCCAAAATATTTCCACCATGCCTCAAAGAATCTGTCTCTATAAAGTAATTATTCCCCGGTCCTCTTTCCTTCCAGCACCTGACAACCACCAATCTCTTTTCTGCCTCTATGGATCTACTTATTTTGAACATTTCATATAAATGGAATTGTGCACTGTGTGATCTTTTATATCTGGCTTTTCTCACCTAGCCACCTGGTAGCATGTATCAGTATTTATGTCATTTGTTGTTATTATTTAATTTTATGTATTTGGTACAGGGTCTCACTATATAGCTCAGACTCGTAGTGATCCTGGTTTCGGCCTCCCCAGCACTGGGATTACAAGCCTGCACCACCATTCCAGAACTCTGTGGTCAACTCAGTGCGCCTGGGGTTGGGGCTGGCGTGGCATGCAGTACCGGG